GAGCACTGTGAGCATGTGTGTGAGTGTGAGCCCTGTGTGTGTGATTTGTATCACTGTGTGTGAGTGAGCACTGTGTGAGGGTGAGCACTGTGTGAGGGTGAGCACCCCTGTGAGGACAGGACAGCTTTTCCAATCGCTCCTCCTTACAAAATGCGGAGCCTGAAATACCAAACCCAGGCTTGGCAGCATCATTACCCACTGAACCGTGGGCAGAAACTGCCAAGTCTAAGAGGAGAGGAGGCTCCTCGTGTTTAGTTTTCAGCAACTACTTTGAGGAGGTGACAATTCATTAACAGGAACAGTGGTGTAGATGGGAACCAGCAGTCCTGTCCCCTGGTTAATGAGAAATGAACGGGTTTTCACAGAGTAGAGGTCACGGGTGTCCTCTTGATTAGAGTAGGAGCAATATGAGATGAGACAGTCAGAATGTTGCTGGCTCATTGTGGTAGGCTTCCCATTTTTCTGTCCCTGTGGAAAAGGAAGATCCCTGGCTGAACAACAACAACATCCTGTGGGTTTTAGGAACCTATAGAGTTTGAAGACGTGTCACTTACATTTACCGAGGAAGAGTGGGCACAGCTGGACCACGAACAGAAATGCCTCTACAAGGAAATCATGCTGGAGAACTACAATAACGTGATTTCAGTAGGTAAGGCAGCCTCCACATTAATAGAAATGCTTGCGCCTTGGGTGGGTGATACACACATGGAATTCCATCACTCCAGAGGAGGAGGAGGAAGAATGGAATTTTGGGGCCCGTCTTCTTGACTCTGCCTCCTTCCTCCTCACCTTCCTTTGTTTTAACTCCTAGTGTGTGATGCCTCTGAGCCGTTTGTCTTGGGCTTAGACTGGACAGACCAGAGTGGAAATGTTATGGCAAGAAATCCAACAAAAGGAAGGGCTGTGTAGTTGTCACTGCCCAAGGCCTGACGTCCTCTTGTCACAGCGTGGGGGAAGGAAGGGCTATAGTGCTGCAGCAGGACAGCATTTTCTCTGAGCAGACTCCCCAAGCCCTGTCTCTTTCCCTTGAGCAGAACATCACTTTTCCAAGCCAAATGTGATATCTCAGTTAGAAGAAGTAGAAGACTTCTGGCCAGTGGAGAGAGAAAGTCCTCAAGAGACCTTTCCAGGTGAGATCCAGGCGAGAGGGAGTTCACAAAAGGGATGGGCCTACTGATGACTCTGAGACTAATGTCTTCTAAGTGGTAGAGATTATGAGAACTCAGATAGCATGTTGTAATTACTATATGTTACTTTCCAATCTGCAGTCATTTTTCCTTGGTGCTGCTGATAAGCCCAGGGCATTTCACACAATCAGCAGTGCAAACAGACATGCTATTACTGAACTAACATCCCCAGCCTAGATTCTTACTTTGGGGCAGGGTTATAGTATCTGTGGTTTGTGTGCAGTGGTGGTAGTGGTGTTTGTGTTGGGAATTTTGTTGTTTTCCTTTCCCATTTTGTTTTCAGATAAGGTCTTAAGTAGCCCAAGCTGGCCTCCACCGTGGTAATAACTAAACTTCTGATCATCTCCTGCTTAAAAGTTTATAGAATTACAAATATGTGCTACTATACTGGCTCCTGTTTTGTTTTCTAGGTTTTGTTGTTGTTGTTAAACACATAGGCATATTGTGTGAATACTTGTGTCAATTGAAGTAATTTAATGTTCCTTTTTGTTATTAACTATTTGTTTTCACTTTGTATGTGGTAAACATATACTGATTCTCCTATTTTTGGAAAGATCATCTTTCCATAGAATAAATTGCTGTGTCATAGTACCGAAGCCTCTTCCATGCTCTTTCGCCTTGAACTTTTGTGCTTTTCTTCTCTGGATGCATGCCAAAATGCTATACATTTCATTATATATTAGTTTTTTTTTTCATTCCCCTTGTAATTTAAAAACAAAACAAAACTTAGGATATTTTGGTTTTCCATACCTCTAATAAGTGTCAGCTTGCTTGAGTTAGTTGAGAATATCCTGTTAGACTTTACATTAAATTGGATTAGACTCACATTGTTGCTGTTACTTGTGCTGGTTAATCTTCTCTTGCACAGTTGTTGAGATGAATCTGTCATCCTGCTACATTGTCTTAACATTGGTGTTTGAATTACTTTTCTGCTGCTGTGAAGATGAGAGATCACATTAAATGAGGGCTTGCTCAAAGTTTCAGAGGGTTAGCCCATGACCATCATAGTGGGTAACATGGCAACAGGCAGGCAGGCAGGCAAGGTGCTATAGCAATATCTGAGGGCTTGCAACTGATCCACAAGCAGGAGGCAGAGTGACAGCTACTGGGACTGGCATGAGCTTTTGGAACACTCCCAGTGACTCACCTCTTCTGACAAGTCCACAACTTCTACTCTTTGCCAACAGTTCAACCAATTGAGGACCAAGTATTCAAACCCATGAGTCCATGGTTATCAGTCTCCTTCAAACCACTACAACCACCAGGCCATCTCTTCAGCCCCATGTTAATGCTTTTCTTTGCTCTGGACAGTGACATAGTTGTATCATCACATACAAACATGATTCTGAAAGGAAAGAGTGGTTATCTGGCCTCACTTAATAGGAAAATTGCCAGGTTTTGGTGAGCATGATCTTAGATGCTGCTTTGTTTCACATCAACATTCATCTGAATGACTAAATTTCCATCTAGTGCTAGAAATGAATGAGAATCCATAATGCTTCCTGTTTCCCTTCTAGAATCCTCCCAGGTGGTCAGAGTGGTTTTCTCCTTCCAATAGTTAGTGGTAACAGTAGATTTAAGAAATGCCTTGCTATGAGGTTATATTTTTGTGTTAATCTTCATAAGTGACAGGGTGGTATTCACTGTCTTTGCTGTCTTCAACTTTTTTATTTATGTGTTGGCTATAAAGCCCACTGTGTGCTACTGGATGCTTGTCTTTTTTTATGCTGTGGTGCAAGTAGCATCAGAACCACTGCTTCTGGCACTGTTCACCTGTCAGGTCTCCATCTGGTGCCATCTTTAGTGATGGTTATTAGTCACAACACAAAGGGACTGGAGTCTATGACTTAGCACACCCCTTCTCTGGACCCTATTTTAGGGGTAGGAGTAAGTAACCAAACTGCAAAAATGGCAGGTTAATTTGACTGAAGACCACTGTCCATATTAGCTGTGAGGGGAGTTTGACTTTTTGTTGAGGCTTATTGTGACTTGGCTTATCATAGCTCACTCTGGTTGGTTTGTCCATAAAGAGCAGTGGTGGGACAGAGATGGAGAGGGTAGGGGGTTCTGTTGCATCTAGGGGTGAAACAATGCCTGCTGGAAGAATATTAGCAGGTTTAGGGAGAATTTAGGAGTGTGTTTGACTCAAAGATAGACTCAGTGGATCCAGGTAAGTAATTAGCTAAACGGGCAAACAAAGCTGCTGAGAATTCTTATGGGTGAAGAAGGCCCTGAAAGGTTTTCCTGTGGCTGTTTTTTTGTACTCTGTATGTTTTCGGCAAGCATTCATTTTGTGGTCCTGGAGACTGATCCCAGGGCCTTGTATATGCTATGACACTGGGCTACATCCCCAGCCTTGCACTGCAAGAGAAACTTTGTCTGAACTTTTGAAATTAATATATATTAGAGGTACAAACTATTTTAAGAAGTTGAACCTTGGGTTTTTTTTTTTTTTTTTGCCGTGATGACATAGTGTTGAGTAAAACTTTAGACTAATCTTTTATAGAGCTGCCTAATGGCATTCACCTTGAAAGTTCCATGTCTCTACTTGTTCTGGCAGTAACTTGTAAATGAAAAGGAACCTTAGATACACCCAAGGAGGTTTGCTAAGCTGACCTAAATGCATGTGTTTTAATTTCCAATAGTCCCTGTAGTAAATAAAGTATGAGATCTTAGAATGTCATATATTACTATTAATTGAGATAATACATCTCCACTAGTCTCCTAAGAGTTGTGTGCTGTGCCTCTGATTGATGCACAGAACTGAGATTCAATCAAAAGCTGGGATTCTTTTTCACAACTCAGCTTGCATACCTCTCCAGTTTTCACCATAGCTACAATGATGTCATGAAATGTGGTTGTTGAAGTTATATGAGAAAAGGATAAATCCTAAGACAAATGACATTCATCCTCAAGAAAGCTTTGAATTGAATAAGATCATGTGAAAGCTTTGGAAAATAAGTTAGTTTGTCCTTGCTGGGTGGTGGTGGTGCACACTCAGGAGGCAGAAGCAGGTGGATCTCTCTGATTTCAAGGCCAACCTGTTTTACAGAGTTCCAGGACAACCAAGGGTACACATAGAGATACTCTGTCTCAATTCCTCCCCCTCCCCCCCAAAAAATGTTGGAATCATATGTTCAGTTGTCCTTCTTTGTCCATTCAAAAAAGCGCACCTACATGTATGACCTTCAGATGGAACACTTGAAAGTTATCTAGTCTTAATAATTAAAAAGCAATCCTTAAAGAAGATTATTGGCCAGGCATGGTGGGTTGTAACTTTAGTCAAATCACTTGGGAGGCAGAAGAAAGCTGATCTCTGTGAAGTAATTGTCCTTAGCATGAGAAAGCCCAATTTCATCTCACCTTGACCTCCTTAACTATTAGAAGGCTAAAGCTGGATACCAATCTATAAAGACATGGATGAGAGAGTCTTTTTATGAATCTTTCAGTCTCTGAGAACTCACTCTAAGGGAAGAAATCTCAGAAATATGATTGGTGCAGGAGCAGCTTCTAACCTAAGTGAGTCTTCTCTTAAGAAAACTCAAACCAGACCCCTCCCCCACACACACACACCAGAAAAAATTAACAATTTAGTTTTTGGGAGTTTTCTCATATCAATTACTTGCGTCTAAGAACTCTGAAATCATTAGAATGTACATGGTATAGAAACTGTTCCGTGTGTGACTGTCTTACTGTTCTTCACAGTTGTGCCAGGGTTTGTCTTAAGAATGTAATAGCTATTGGGAAGCCACTGAGTATTATAGAAGTTAATGATGGGCATCCCTGTAAGAATGACAATGTAGGAACCTTCAGTAGGAGTCCTCGTCCTGTTCTGTATCAGAGGACTCATATGGGCAAAGACCATGTGGATGTCTTCTGTGGGAAAATCATCAGATTCAACCCCTACATTATCTGAGAATGAAGAAACACTCACTAGAAAGGATTACAGTGGTTAAGAAAAAGGAAATGTCAAAGGTCGTAAGTGTAAAAACCCTGTATAAAATTTGAATAACAAAATTCATAATTGTAGTAAAGCAATTTCTAACATCTCTTATTCTGTATTCTGCCCAAATCTTAAGTGATATGAATGAGAGCAATAATCATTACTAGCATCCTATCCATTGCAGTTTGTTAGCAATATGGCTGCATTGCTTGGAGCTTACTAAGGTACTAAAGAGTGAATAAGTATCTGAAGAAACCACAAAGAACAAGGGATTAAAGGTGTGTGCCACCAACACCCAGCAATAAATTCCTTTTTTAACAGATTTATTTATTATGTATACATTGTTCTCTCTGCATGTGTCCCTTTAGGCCAGAAAAGAGTACCACATATCATTATGGATATTTGTGAGCCACAGTTTGCTGGTTCAGAATTGGGCTCAGGACATCGGGAAGAGCAGCCAGTGGTGTTAGCCACTGATACATCTCTCCAGCCCCTGCTAGGTAATTTTCTATCAACTAACCTACATATCCATCCATGTTTTTGTTTCTTTTTTTTTGTTTGTTTTTTAGTTGAATCTGTTTTTGTCACTCTGATTGGCTGGAACTGAATATGTAGACGTGGCTAGACCTATGCTTGCAGGCATCCCCTCTTTCCCCTGTCTCTCAAGTATAGCAATTATAGGCGTGTGCCACCCTGCCGAGCTTTTGCTCTGGTTTTCACTTACAGGATCTTCTGAGCCTTCTCTAGATGATGGAATCAAATCCTTTCCTGATGAGAATCCCTTGATGAAGATCAAGGTTGTTGAGGTCCTTACACTGAACAAGGATGTGGCTGGTCCCCGGAATGCTCTTATTCAATCCCTCTATAGTGAAAGTGGAGAAGACCTGCGCCCTGGTGAACTCAAGTCAGTTCAACAACCAGGCACGCATTTGACTGACAGTGAAGTCGCTCACCAGAAGTTCCGCCATTTCCAGTATGAAGAGTCAGATGATCCCCAGCAAGCTGTGTCTCAGCTTCGGGAGCTGTGTCACCGGTGGCTGCAGCCCAGTATACATTCAAAGAACTGGATCCTGGAGTTGCTGGTGCTTGAGCAGTTCCTGAGTGCGCTGCCTGAGAAGTTGCGGGTGTGGGTAGAATCACACCACCCAGAGGACTGCCAGGCAGCCGTGGCCCTGGTGGAGAATGTAACCTCGGTGTCTAAGGAAGGTGGTGAGTGCCATGGAAGGGTGGGGTGAGAAACATCTCTGGGAAGACTTTATGGAGGATTGTGGAGTGCTGGAGGGTTGGTCCCACTCCAGACCACAGACATCTGTGTCTGCCACACACTAGCAGGTCAGAGCTAATGCAGACCTGAAGTGGCTGGGGCTCCAGGCCTGTTCTCTCAAATGAAAACCTTCCATGGGCTTCAGTGGAAGCTCACAGATGCAGTGCTCTATTTTGTTCCCATTCTCTTGGGAACCCTGACACATAATCAGCCTTCCAGTCCTTTGTAGGGGCCATGAGTGAAGTTGTAACTCTGGCACGACTCAAGTTCATTGAGCCTGTGGTGCTGCAGAAAAGATGTCACATGACTAGTGAATGCACATGTGGCAGTGTTAAGGTGGTGGAAAGGTCAGGGTACTGGTAGAGTGTATGGATGCTGTTTCTGTCACTGATACCTGTGATACTGTGGTAAAGAAAGGATGCAGGATGGATGTGCCCATAGGCCATGAGCCAAGAATGCTTATAGAAGTTGAGAAGGCAAAGAATGTGTTCTTCCCTGTATGAAAGAACACAGCCCTGTTAAAGTCTTGATTTTGGCCAAGTGGGGCTAGGACCAGAACTCTGGTCTCTGGAACCTTATTATATTTTGTCAGACCTGATGGCATAGATACTCAAGAGTTCAAATTAAGTCACCAGTTCAAGGCCTGCCTGGGCTACAAGTGAGTTCAAGGCCAGTGTGAGTAATGTATCACAATTCTGCCTCACAATAGAAAATAACTGGAGCTGTTATTAGAAGTGGAATTCTTACCTAGGCTGCAAAGCATTCTGGGTTTAATCCCCAGAATTTGGGGATCTGGTACAGATAATGACACTTGACTGCAGTTTCACTCCCCAGAAGCTTCATTTAAAACCTGGTCATGGTCATGCATACCTATAAAACACTATTAGAGTAGGAGGAGACAGGAAGTTCACTAGGGTTTCCTGGCTACAAACAAGTTCAATGAGAGAACATGACTCAACAGAATACAGCAAGAGGGATGGAGCAGACACCAGAGATCCTCCTTTGACCTCTGCATGCACCCAAACACACATATACCCAAATGACAAACACCACAATTACAAACACCAAAAAAGCAGTAGTGCTTAGGAGATGAAATTGAATTTAGCTTATGTTTACCATGTCACAGCGTGAGGACCCTGACCTTTCACAGAGGACCCTGAGAAAACTATTTGTGGTCAGTGAACTAGTTGGGATTCTTTTATGTCACTCACAAAACCTAACACGTGGCTCCAAGAAAGGAAAGTTTACTGGAGGAATTCCAGGATTTTCTAAATCTAGGAAGGGAACATGCATGCTTAGGAAGGTCATTGACCTCCTGAGCTTATCCCTTTTGCATATCCCAGTTGTCTGTCTTCAGACAATTACATTACAACTTCCTAACACAGGATTTCTCTTTCTTAAATGTTCCAGCAAAGGCTTCAATTGCTCTGAAAGCCTGTGCTCTCCTGTATCTCCCAGAGTCCATTTACACTAGGTGATAGCATTGTAGACCAACCTGAGTCACCTCATCTGCCCCATGCTAGTTGGAGTAGAATCAGCATCGTGAGAGACCGTGGAGCCTGTGGAGGCACTTGGGAAAGGCTAGACCATAAGGAGTCCTTGGCAGAGCTGTTAGCACTGCAAGTAATATGTAAGATGGCAGCACAAAATGGGTGCACACCCTGTGACCAAAGAAAGCCTTCTGCAAGGCCGCAGAAGGGAAGGGGAACCACTCACCCATGTTAAGGGCTTGCAGACTAGAAACCAACTTTCCCTCTAAGAAGAAAGTATGAGGAGGCCATTACCTCAGAAGCTAGAGCCTGAAAGTGATGCTGGACGGGGAAGGGGACAAAAGGTTTCAATCCTGGAAACCCCAGTCCGTCAGTGGTCCATGCAGGGTGACAGTCTGGGCCCTTCCAGGTAAAGGAATTGGTTCCCCCTTGTGAAGAGGTCAGCATAGACTGTCAAGGGACTTGGATATGCACGGCTCAGGGGTTGCAGAGCCTGGCAGTTCTGCCTGCCTGAGGGCTACCATTGATCCCTTCCTGTGTCATCTTCTCCAGCTCTGCCTGCTTGCCATAAGGAGTCCACTGATCGACTGAAAGAGAAAAACAAGGACATAGCCACCTTACCAGTTACTGTACCACCTGAGGTAAGCAAAACCCTTACCTTTTGTGCCTTTTTTCATAAGGCGCCCAACCCTAAGATGCCCCCTTCTACCCTGAGACTTGCTGAGGCTTCACACATGATAGGCAGTTTTTTTTATTATTTTAAGATTTTATTAATTATGTATACAGTCTTCTGCCTGCATGCAGATCTCATTCAAGGTGGTTGTGAGCCACCATGTGGTTGCTGGAAATTGAACTCAGGACCTCTGGAAGAACAGTTAGTGCTCTTAACCTCTGAGCCATCTCTCCAGTCCCATGATAGGCAGTTTTAACATTCTGAGTTCTTTGGAATGAGTGGAGTTCTGCAACATCCAAGGTGTGAAGGGCAATCCTGCCTCCTGACATTGTGACCATAGAGAAAGGAAAAGGCAGGAGTAAGTGGCCCAAAGCTGGTGAACATGAGAAGCAGAGCAACTAAGGCAGCCTATATGAACCACATTGTACCCGGTTAGAATGAGAGAGCCCTTGTCCTTCAGAAACACTCAGCTGGGGAATTAGGAATGGGACAGCACAGCTCAGATCTGTCTCGAACAAACTAAGGCGCTGTGCATACAGCATAATTAGCCTGTCGGCTATATGATGTGGTGTGTATATGGCATTAGTTAGTACCCTTTTCCCTCTAAACAGTTTATATTTGCACGGGCATGTGATTGAAATTGATGACTCATGTAATGAACAGTCTAGAGCAGGCTTCAATTAAGGCCACTGAGTGGCAATGGGAAGATACAGATTGATGAATCCCAGACTTCCTTCTCAGAAATCTGTTCCTTCTGAGGTAGGCTCTTCCCCATCTGGGCAAAATACCTCCCCAATCCAGGTAAGTTGGTGAAGTGGAACAGTCTTTTTTTAAGAATCTTTAGGGGCTCATGAAACCTGCAATAACAGGTGAATGCTCTACATAGGTCAGACCTGTCTCACAGGCAGACATCTTCATTGTGGGTTTTACCCTAGAGGACAAGGCTGTCCTAGAGGAAGAAGGTCCTCTGGTAAGATGCTGCCCTTAAGGTGCAGCCTTGATACAGATGCTAGTATGATTGATGTGCCTTGCTTATTACACTTGTAGGTCTTTGTCAATCAGGGGCTCTGTCTACCTGCTTGGGGACAAGACTTTCATTTAGAGAAATACCCTTTGGATGTCTTTCTGCTGGAGAGGTCATTGTCTCTGAGCAAACCACCAAAGCAGAGGAGTCCCTATCTGTTATAATATCTCAGTGTCCTTTCTTCTGCCCCCATTGATAAACACCAGACTTTTATGACATTACAGGAGCCAGTGACCTTCCAGGATGTGGCAGTGGACTTCAGTCAGGATGAGTGGCAGCTACTAGGACCAATGCAAAGAAATGAGTATTGTGATGTGATGCTGGAGACCTTGGACAACTTGGTCTCTGTGGGTAAGATCATGTCTACATTGAGAAGCCAAGGGTCCCCTCAGGTCTCATACTTTGGCTCTACCCATTGTAAGGATAGAGAGGGTCTCTTATTCTGTCAGGGATCTTTATCTAGATCTATGACCCTTTGTGTGTAGGGAACCTTGAGTGCACAGAAGCAGCCTCAGGTTTGGTTTGTCTTTGGGAAGTGGAAACACTCCATTCTCTTACCCCAGTATCTTGATCATCAAATCGATTGTTCCTGGTTTTGGTGCTAAACAATGTGTGAGTCATTCCATAGACTGAATGACTATTGGAAAAGAGGATGTAGAGCTGGGCGTTGGTGGCCCACGCCTTTAATCCCGCACTCGGTTGGCAGAGGAAAGCAGATCTCTGTGAGTTCGAGGCCAGCCTGGTCTCCAGAGCGAGTGCCAGGACAGGCTCCAAAGCTACACAGAGAAACCATGTCTCAAAAAAACCAAAAAAAGAAAGAAAGAAAGAAAGAAAGAAAGAGGATGTAATCTCATTTTTTTAATACCTTTTGTTATAGTGTCATTCTGGCATTTTTAGTGACAGTACACTGATCATTTGGTTTCTTTCAGGGTGGCAGCCTACATCGGGAAAACAAGAGTTAACTCCAGAATCTCCTACTTCTGTGGCAGAACCAATTCATATCCCGAAACCAAAAGATTTCTCAAGGAATGATACTCAGTCCACTGTCTCTGAATGTATCTCAGAAGATGAGGTCCAAGGAATCCATTCCATAAAATCAAGTCAGGTGGAAACTGTACAGGAAACAGGCCTCCCTGTGGACCTCTCTGAAAGCTCCACTTCTCAGGAGCAAAGTAACCTGCACACAAGCCAGTGCTCAGTTGATGCAGTTCTTCCTGGAAAGCACTTGGATGTGAAAATTAACCAGAAGGGCTTTAGGAAGAGGAAAGCCAAGGAAAAAAACATTTCCATTCCAGGAGACTCACCCATAAGAAATAAGCAGAAGAACTATGAGGGGCAGCAAGTCAGAGATGACAGCAATTCCAGGGTACATGGTTCTATACAAAACCACGAACAGGGTTCTGAGAAGAGTGAAGCTAGGGACAGCAAAGATGCCATTATACTTCTAGAACCTGCAAAAATTAACCAAAAAGCCACTGGCTCTGAAGCGGGTAGTGTCAGGGACAATAGCAATGCCAGGACACTGGATGCAAATGTAAAGATTCACAAGAAAGTTCCTAGACAGGATAAAAGTGGGGAAAGCAGCAATGCCCTGGCACAAGGTTCATCTATACCGAATCACCTGATGGGGGCTGAGGTAGGAAGATCCAGGGACAGGAACTGTTCCTTGACACAGGCTTCACCTGTAAGAATTCTCCAGAAAGGCTGTGTGGGTGGTAAAGTCCAGGGAAGGAGGAATTCCTTGAGAAGTGGAAGAGCTTACCAGAAGGGTTCTAACAGTGGGAGAATTGAGGAAATTAGTACTTCTTCAAAACACGCTCCCCATATAAAAATTCGCCCGAAGGCCTTGGAAAGAGGAAAAGGCAGGGAAATCAACACTTCAATTAAATACAGTCCCCATGTGAAACGTTACCAGAGGGGTTCCGAAGGGGCCACTGCAAGGAAAGACAATTGCGACAGAGACGCCAGCCAGCAAGCTCGGCAGATACTTTTTATAAAAATTCACAAGGGGAGCCAAGTTTGCCGCTGCAGTGAATGTGGTAAACTGTTCCAGAATGCTAGGTATTTCTCGGTCCATAAAAAGATCCACACGGGAGAGAAGCCTTACACGTGTACTGTCTGCGGTAAAGCTTTTGTTCAGAGCTCCTCCCTCACCCAGCATTATAGAATTCACAGTGGAGAGAGACCATTTGAGTGTTCAGAGTGTGGGAGGGCCTTCAGTGACCGCTCAGCCGTCTCTCAGCACCTGAGAACTCATACTGGGGCTAGACCCTACCATTGTCAGCGCTGTGGGAAAGCCTTCCGCCAGAGCTCACACCTCACCAGGCATCAGAGAACTCACACTGGGGAGCGCCCGTATGTGTGCACCCAGTGTGGGAAGGCTTTCACCCAGAGGTCACACCTTGTTGGGCATCAGAAAACACACACAGGATAAAAGTTCAAGAAGCAGACCAAATCACAGTCCTAGTGCCTTTCAAACCACTGCCTTTTCAGCTTTGGGGTGTACCCTGCAGACTAAGTAAGGACATCCCACACTTGAAGGACAGCTCAGGACACTGCCCAGCAAGCATAAGTGAAACTGTCAGGGAGTTCTTTTTGTTGTTGTTTGTTTTTTGGGGGGGTTCACTGTCAGAGTTCTTAAATGCTTCATTTAGTCATTAAAATATGAAAGCTGAAAGTGCTCATTAAGTTTAAAAGACAACTAGCAAATACTCCATTGATTATTATACACAGGGTCATGTGTGAGTGACAAAATCCAAAGGGATGTGTAGATAAATATACTAAATGCTTTGAAATGTGTGTTTCCTGCTGTAATGGCTATTCTTGGTTGTCAACTTCCCTACATCTAATATTAACTAAAATACAAGCAACTGATAACTTCTGTGAAGAGTATTTTCTTAAGTCTTTTGAGGTTGGGAGATCCATTTACTTTTATTCTGAGACACCTACTTGAAGCTTATATAAAAGACAGGGGAGGAGGAAACTTGCTCTATTCTTAGGTAGTCCATTTTTCACCAGCACTAGACATTCTGGGATGTACTGAAGACTGGCTGGACATCCAGCCTTGTGAACTGAACAACTAATGCGTTCTTGGACCTTCCATTAGTAGACATCCAGTGTTAGACTAGCTGGACCACAGCCTGTAAGTCATTCTAATAAATCTGTGTCTATGAGAGGACAAATGCTCATATCTGTTACTCTTGAGAACCCTAGTACACCTGCTGAACTAAGAATATATTGATCTGATGCTTATATTAGGAACATTAAGATAAAGTCTTATCAAATAGTTCTAGAATTTTTATGTATGGCTGGAGTCCTTGGGCCCCAGGTTCCAGGTGAGTTGGGCAAACAAATCATTTCTAGGTCACTGTGATGAAATGGTTCAGTATACAGATGGCAGGAAATCTTCAGGAACCATTGGAGGCCCAGAAGTCCCTCGTGAATCCAGAGATACATGGGCATGTCCTCTGGCTTTACAAGGGAGAGGAGTTATCCCAGCTATTTGCTCATTGATATGCTAAACAAAAAACATTGGCAACACCATGACAAGTGATGGATGCCTACCTTCAAACTTGATGTTTTCAAAAAATTCTCCAGGTCAGAAGAATAAAAAAACCTACAATATGGCTCATCTGGTAAAGGGGGCCCACCACCAAGCCTCCTGACCTGAGTGTAATCTCTGGTACCCACATGGTGAAGAGAGAGAACTGGTTCCTGCAAGTTGTCCTCTGTATGCCATGGTTTAAGAAACACTAAATAAACTATACAAACACATTGATGGTTGGAGTGATGGGTAGGTGACTAAAAGTTCTTGTGTAGACTGGTTCCTAGCATCCACCTTTGGAGATTCAAATCTGCCTATAACTCCAGCTCCAGGACAATCGAACACCTTGGCACCTGAACTTGTATATAGCCATAGTGGCATACAGAATTAAAATAGTTTTTTTTTTGTCTCCAGTGAGTATATGAACAACATTAATTGGACTTGCATTTTTATTTCCTTCTGCAGGGGGTGGTGGTGGTGGTCTTGAGGGTGGAAGACAGGCCTGAGAAGTGAATGTGAGCGGATGCATTGTGTGGAATTTCCAAATCATTAATAAAAAACCCTGTGTTGGAAAAAGTAACTCCATATGACATAAATCCACTTCATCCTTTTTCCCATGGTTCCACATTGCTCTTCTAAATTCTTTATAACATTTGCAAACATTCTAGACCTGGGGTTGTGGCTCAGTGGATAAGCTTGTGTTTTGCATATATGAAGCCATGTACAACTCCAGTGCATGTGTGCATAATCACTCAGACACACACACACACACACACACACACACACACACACACACCAGAGCACTTAGGATCTAGCCTATAGTGCTTGTATAATCATTCCCTCTTGGGTGAATGCCTCACCTTTCTCTGAAGCAAATATGAGTCTGAGACAGGACCAAAATGCAAATACTCTGTTAGGTTAGGTACGTGAGAAAAGGGCTATGAGGAGGCATACATCAGTCACAGTACAATTATTGCCATGGGGTGTTTCATTGCTTCAGCAACCCACTGCAGTGTGTTAGTCTTTCTGAAATGGGCTAAACTGCGTCCAAAGTTGTGTTAGCTAGTAAACTACTCCATTTTATGGCCTATCAAGTATGAAACAGGCAGTTGGAGTAGAGATCTAAACCTAAGAATCTCATTTTTCTGGATCCATAACACTAAGATGGGCCTCTCCGAAGGTGAGGAGCCAGGAGTGGCCAAGAGATGGAAAATATGAATACAGGAGAACTTTGTATCAGAAGATGCAACCTGCATCTTGGGGGGAAAAATGGTTTGCCTACATGTTCTATGTAATGAGCAATTCCAAATTAGTGACAGGAAACAACAACCATTTTACTATTTGTTGTTCTATGGGTAAATTTAGAGACCACACATAAGGTTTCTAACTGTTCAGTGGTTTTTGGGATCTCAGCCAGGAAGACAAAAGAGTTGAGAACTGAATGTCTAGGGCCATTCGAATGTGCCTTAGATGTATATGGACTCTGGGTGTGTTGATTGCCTTTCATGATCGCAGATGGCAAGTAGGGTCAAGTTAAATCTGTCATTGAGCCTGTCAGCTCCCACACAGCCTCTCTTGCCCTCTTCTTCCTGCCTTAACCTTCAGATTTTTAAGGTAAAGGCTGACACATTGAGGACCTTCCTACCCAGAGAGAGGTGTCTATAACCTGGCTGGACTCCCTTCACAAGCTAAAGGGAGTCTGACTTCCCTGGCATTGAGTTTGTGAGTGATGCTTAGAAGATGACATAAGGTAGTTTCTACCCTCCTTCCCAAGACAAAAGTTGCTGTGAACTCTGAGTCTATAGTTGGCCCCTCTGAAATCCAATTTCAGAGCCACCATACGCCAGAGAGCCATAAAATAAAGGACCTCTGGTGACAAGTGGCTAGTCAGTGACTTCAATCAAATGGAGTCCAGCTGACCTGGTGCTTTCCCTAAATTGGGCCTTGGGACGAAGGTGAGATAACAGACATGGGGGTTTTTTAAAGGAAGGAAAGATTTTCAGCAGGAGGAATGGGTGATTCCCAGTCAGGCCCAAGTCCCTGCCATAAGTTCAGTTGGCAAGGAAGAGAGATCTGGGAGGGTCTCCTTTGTTTCCTATTGCTTAGATAAAACACCAATCAATACCAAAGGCAGTATGGCGAGGAAAGGGTTTATTTCATCTTACACATCTACCTTGGTCATAATCCATCATTAAGGGAAAGCCAAGGCAGGAAGCCAAGCAAAGCAGGAACAGAGACAGGCCATGCTTACTGGCTTATTCCTTGTGGCTTGTTCAGCTCCTTTCTTCTACAACTCAAGACGGGGGCCATAATTCTCTTTCTTTGTTGGATCTTTTTGTGGTGTGGGAATCAGGGTAACTGTGATCTCATAAAATGAATTAGACATTGTAGCTTCTGTTTCTATTTTGTGGAATAATTTGAGAATATATGGCATTAACTGTTCTTTAAACGTCTGGTAGAATTCTGTGTTAATATTATCTGGCCATGGGCTTTTTTTTTTTTTTTTTTTGGTTGGGAGATGTTTCATGACTGCTCCTATTTTACTGGGTGTGTCATAGGCCTATGTAAATCACTTATCCTGATTTCATTTTGGTAAGTGGTATATATTGAGAAAGATTATGCTCTTCTTTTATAGTTTGTACTGTGGTGGAGTACAAGATTTTAAAGTATGTTCTGATGATTTTCTGGATTTCCTTGGTATCTGTTTTTATGTCCTTTTCATTTCTATTTAACTAATTTGGATATTCTTGCTCCTACTTTTAGTTAATTTGAATAAAGGTGTGTCAGTCTTATTTTCTCTTTCTTTCATTGGTTCCTTGTACTTGTTTTATTTCTATTTTATTGATTTAAGTCCCGAGTTTGGTTATTTCTAGCCATCTGCTCCTTTTGTGTTTAGTCACTTTTTTTTGTTCTAGAACTTTCAGGTATGCTCTTCAGTTGTTAGCATGAGATCTCCTGAAGGCACTTACTCTTATGAACTTTACTCTTAGAATTGCCTTCATTGTGTCACATAAGTTTGGGTATTCTCTTTGCTCATTTTCATTGACTTCTAGAAAGTTTTTTAAAATTTCTTTCTTGGCCCATTTTTAATTCAGTAAAGGGTTGTTCAGGCCCCGTGAGTTTGTAAACCTATTATTTCTTTTGCTATCAATATCCAGCTATAATCTGTGGTGGTCATATAGAACCCCTGTGTTGAAAAACAAAACAAAAAAAGATCATCCTCACTGTGATTAATGAGGTTTCTAGACTCCTCCCCATCATCAATAACCTCCATGTAAAAGATTCTGTAATGAAAAGGAAGGGAGGTTTAAGAGTCACCCCTGAAGGGATGAGGAGATGGTTCAGTGGTTAAGGGTATAGGCCTCTTCTAGAGGACACCCACACCTACCCCAAGTTCTCAAACTAAATGCCACCAAGTAATTTTACTTTTCAAACAAATCTATCTTTTAAATTTATTAACTTATTTTTTTTTTACATTCCAACCCAAGTTACCCCTCCCTACTCCCCTCCTCCCTGGTCCCCCCCCCACCTCACCTCCCATTTGTTCCTCAGAGAGGGTAAGCCCT